ATTCCTGCCAGGGCCCTGGGGCATTTGCACACCCCCTGCCGCTGCCTTTCCAGCCAAAGGAGAAGCTGTTCTGTAGCGGTAAAACCGCGGCTCAACCATAGGGTTTTACTGTCCCCCAACCGCAAGTGTGAAGGCTCGTTTCAGATCTGTGCCTGCCTGCTTGTGAATGTTCCTAGGAGGACAACCCATTCATTTCAATTGGCTGCCTTACCCACAAGGAACACGAGAAAAAAATTAATGGCACCCCTAACCTTTGCTTAGGTGTAGTCATTCCTCTGTGGGTCAGGAATTCTGCACATTCCCCACCCACAGAGATGTGAACCTAGGCTGACCCAAGTTGTATCCATGTACAGTCATGGCCAAAAATATTGCCCCCCCCCCCCCCCCCCCCCCCCTGCATTTCTGTCAGTTAACGCACCACTTCGCCCAGACAATTGTTGCAATGACAAATGTTTCGGCATTCTCATATTTATTTCTTGTGTTTGTATTGGTATGACGCAAAAAAGTGAAGAAACAAAAAGCCAAATCTGACCCATTCCACACAAAACCCCAAAAATGGACTGGACAAAATTATTGGCACCCTCCATGTAATATTTGGTAGCACACCCCTTGGAAAGAATAACTGAAATCATTGGCTTCCTGTCACCATCAATGAGTTTCTTCCACCACTCTATTGGAATTTTGGATCGCTCTTCTTCCTCCAACTGCTCCGGGTCTCTGAGATTGGAAGGGTTCCTTTCCCCAACTGATGTTCTGAGATCTCTCCACAGGAGCTCTATGGGATGGAGATCTGGACTCATTGCTGGCCAGTTCAGTCCTCTCCAGCGCTTTGTCTGAAACCATTTCTGAGGGTTTTGTGACGTGTGCTTTGGGGTCATTGTCCTGCTGGAAGACCCATGACCTCTGACTCTGGAGACCCAACTTTTTGACACCGGGACCTACATTGCACCCCAGAATTCTTTGGTGGTCTTCAGATTTCATAATGCCATGTACACGGTCAAGACATCCAATGCCTGAAGCAGCAAAGCAACCCCAAACCATCTGTGATCCCCCCCACCATGTGTGACTGGAGGGACTGTGACCCCCCACCACGTGTGACTGGAGGGACTGTGACCCCCCACCACGTGTGACTGGAGGGACTGTGACCCCCCCACTATGTGTGACTGGAGGGACTGGATTCTTTTTCTTAATGACCTCTTTGCTTTTTCTGAAACCAGTAGAATGATGGGCTTTACCAAAAAGATGCCATTTTGTTTCGTCTGTCCCCAGCACATTCTTCCAGAAGGGTTTGGCTTCCTCAGGTAAGTTTTGGCAATCTGGCTTTTTTTATGTTTCTGTGTCAGCAGTGGGGTCCTCCTGGGTCTCCCACAATATTTCTGTGTCAGCGGTGGGGTCCTCCTGGGTCCTCCTACCATATTTCTGTGTCAGCAGTGGGGTCCTCCTGGGTCTCCTACCATATTTCTGTGTCAGCTGTGGTGTCCTCCTGGGTCTCCTACCATATTTCTGTGTCAGCGGTGGGGTCCTCCTGGGTCTCCCACCATATTTCTGTGTCAGCGGTGGGGTCCTCCTGGGTCTCCTACCATATTTCTGTGTCAGCAGTGGGGTCCTCCTGGGTCTCCTACCATATTTCTGTGTCAGCTGTGGTGTCCTCCTGGGTCTCCTACCATATTTCTGTGTCAGCGGTGGGGTCCTCCTGGGTCTCCTACCATATTTCTGTGTCAGCGGTGGGGTCCTCCTGGGTCTCCCACCATATTTCTCTGTCAGCGGTGGGGTCCTCCTGGGTCTCCCACCATATTTCTGTGTCAGCGGTGGGGTCTTCCTGGGTCTCCCACCATATTTCTGTGTCAGCAGTGGGGTCCTCCTGGGTCCTGGGTCTCCCACCATATTTCTCTGTCAGCAGTGGGGTCCTCCTGGGTCTCCCACCATATTTCTCTGTCAGCAGTGGGGTCCTCCTGGGTCTCCTACCATATTTTTCTGTCTGCAGTGGGGTCCTCCTGGGTCTCCCACCATATTTCTATGTCAGCAGTGGGGTTCTCCTGGGTCTCCCACCATATTTCTGTGTCAGCAGTGGGGTCCTCCTGGGTCTCCCACCATATTTCTGTGTCAGCAGTGAGGTCCTCCTGGGTCTCCCACCATATTTCTGTGTCAACATAGAAGTCCTCCTGGGTCTCCCACCATATTTCTGTGTCAGCATTGGGGTCCTTCTGGGTCTCCCATCATATTTCTGTGTCAGCAGTGGGGTCCTCCTGGGTCTCCCATTATATTAATGTGTCAGCAGTGGGGTCCTCCTGGGTCTCCCACCATATTTCTGTGTCAGCGGTGGGGTCCTCCTGAGTCTTCTCCCATATTTCTGTGTCAGCGGTGGGGTCCTCCTGGGTCTCCTACCATATTTCTGTGTCAGCAGTAGGGTCCTCCTGGGTCTCCCACCATATTTCTATGTCAGCTGTGGGGTCCTCCTGGGTCTCCCACCATATTTCTGTGTCAGCAGTGGGGTCCTCCTGGATCTCCTCCCATATTTCTGTGTCAGCAGTGGGGTCCTCCTGGGTCTCCTTCCATATTTCTGTGTCAGCGGTGGGGTCCACCTGGGTCTCCCTCCATATTTCTGTGTCAGCAGTGGGGTCCTCCTGGGTCTCCTCCCATAGCGTCCCTTTTCATTCAGATGGTGATGTATAGTGTGAGCCAACACAGTTGTACCCGGTGCCTGAAGGTCAGCTTGGATTTGTCTGGAAGTTGATGGAGGTTCTTTAGGCACCATTCCAACAATCCTTTGTTGTAATCTTTGATCAATTTTTCTCTTTTGTCCACGTCCAGGGAGATTACCTACAGTGCCATGGGTTGTAAACGTCCTTACAATGTTGTGCACAGTGGACACAGGAACATGAAGATCTCTGCAGATGGACTTGTAACCTTGAGATTGTCCATGCTTTCCCACCATTTATGTTCTCCAATCCTCAGACAATTTGCTGCTCTTCCTCCTCCATGTTCCATGTGGCACACAGAGACACCCAACAGAAAGGTGGAGGCCATTTGTCACCATTGTCCCCGGTTGTCGGTGGGATTTCTATATGTCAGCACCTGGTCATGGATACGGGGGAGTTTAATGACAAATTACAGGAGCGTCACAAACTTGGAATGCAATTATTTCTTACAATTTTGAGGAGGTGCCAATAATTTTGTCCATTTTTGGGGTTTTGTGTGGAATGTGTCAGATTTGGCTTTTTGTTTTTCCACTTTTTTGTGTCACCGATACAAACAAAAGAAAGAAACACGAGAATGCCGAAACATTGGTCATGGCAGCAATGTTCTGGGCGAAGTGGTGCGGTATCTGACAGAAATGCAGGTATGAGAATATTTTTGTCGTGACTGTATGTGGCAGTGCAGTGATGGTCTTTAGTCTACGTTTTGCGCTTGGTATGCCCCTTGTGCACCCCCAGCACTGTGACCAGTCACCGAGTGATATTCGTAAGCCCATTAGATGGGTGTAAGAGGGGCTCTGTGATTAACACCAAAGCACAAGTCCCTGCCTTGCTCCTGGCCTTGATAGAACACTAACCCTCCACCTGAGGCTATACCCTCCACCATATTGTGCCCCACTCCATGCCAGAGGCCCCCGCATGACATTTCCGACCCATGACCTTTATATTCCCAAAGGAAGGAATGTCCACCCATTAATGCTCCACTTTACTGGTGGTACTTAGAAAATGGCACAAAACAGTCACATCACATCAGCATGCATTCCGGAGTCACCTGGCAGTATATTTCCAATCACATTTAGTGGACAGGCCACAGCAGTCACATGTGAAAGCATATGCAGCACTTTTAGCAGTCATCTTCCCTCGGACAATCTCTTCCTCTGTTTATTCGGGAGCACCACAGTGTTGGGACTTGTCTTCCTGTATAGTGTATCCGCAGCATTCTGCTCCAGTCAAACCGAGATTCCCAAGATGAGGCACCCTGCTCTGTCAGCCTAGGTCAGGGGTAGGCAACCTGTGGCTCTCCAGCTGTTGTGGAACTACATTTCCCATGAGGCATTGTAACATTACAAAACTGACAGTTATAGCTATGACTTGCAGAGGCATGATGGAACTTGTAGTCCTTCAACAGCTGGAGAGCCGCAGGTTGCCTACCCCTGGCCTAGGTGAACAAGCCTCCTGCAATAGTATACCTGTCTCTCCTTTCAGGTCCCACTCCATAGCTCTACCCAGCTGGGTACGCTCTCTGCAGTTACTCTGCGGGTCCCAGAGTCATTAGTACTCGCTCAGAGGGCTCTGATGTGCCCATTAGGCTTTAGGCATCCGGCTCACAACTTCCTGTTAGAGACGGAATTACTTCAGCTTCTGCTACTGAACTCTGTGCACCTCTCCTGGGACTTCTGCCCTGAGCATGGCCTTGGCTCTTCTGGCTACATTTGCATACAGTAGGTCTGGGGTATTTGGCTCACATGACCCCCCATCTGCCCTAAGCCCCCCCAACTGGATCATATATGGGCCATAATTTCCCTATGACATCACTAAAAGGAAGACTTCTCTAAAAGAGGAGATATCGCTTGCTAGCTAACTTCACCTGCTTACACCGGCTTCTTATCACATGACCACCGTGACGGCCAAGGACAGCGATCACATGATCAGGAAGAGCAAGTCACGGCATTATGATGCTTTAAAGGGCCAATGGCTTCTGGAGTCATGGGGGCTCGTCTTTTTTTTTTTACATTTGAAAACAGGACTGTCCAGTACAGGGGTGGACTGACAACTCATGGGGCCCCCGGGCAATAGGGGATCATGGGGCCCCTGTGTCCTAGCCCAAATTTAAAAAATCCTATGAAAAAGGTACCAGGGGCATCTCATGGGGCCCCCTACTGACCCCGGGCCCTCGGGCAGTGCCCAAGTTTCCAAATGGTCAGTCCACCCCTGATCCAGTATATCATTTTTCAAATGATGTTTAGTAAAGGTTCGTCATTTCCTTTGTAGTGACTTGCAGTGCCCTTTTCTTATTTCTCGTAGTCACGGTGTCACAAGGCTGGGGGCGGAGCTTTGATGTTTTGGATCAAATGGGCCAACGGATGTATCAGGCCACTCAGACCGTGGAGTTCTGCGGGCCCCTCTATGATCTGAAGGTCCGAGACAATGCGGGTCAGGATGTCATGGCGGTGCTGGAGACCCTTGCGTGTCGCTGCTCTCGTCTGGTTGGTGGTTTCATTAGTATTTATTGTAGAACATTGGTGGTATTGGTCATGAGACTTCATCGTTGGGAAGGAATATTGTTCTCCTGATCTCCAATAGATACATTGCCAGTGTTCTAAGTCAGGGGTCTCCAAACTTCCTAAATAAAGGGCCAGATTTTTGTTCTTCAGACTTTAGTGGGGCCGGACTGTAGCCAGTAGGAGAAGCAAGTGTCCTGGTGTCAGTGGAATAAACACCCCACTATTAGTATTGAGGGAGTAATAGCAGCCCTTTATTGGTGTCAGTGGGAGGTTTGGTGCCTCATCATTAGTGTCAGTGGGAGGAATAGTACCCCATCATTGGTGTCAGTGGGAGGAATAGTGCCCCATCATTGGTATCAGCGGGAGGAATAGTGTCCCATCATTGGTGTCAGTGGGAGTAATAGTGGCCCTTTATTGGTATCAGTGGGAGGAATGGTGCCTCATCATTGGTGTCAGTAGGGGGGATAGTGTCCCATCATTGGTATCAGTGGGAGGAATAGTGACCCATCATTGGTGTCAGTGGGAGGAATAGTGTCCCATCATTGGTGTCAGTGGGAGGAATAGTGTCCCATCATTGGTGTCAGTGGGAGGAATAGTGCCCCATCATTGGTGTCAGTGGGAGGAATAGTGTCTCATCATTGGTGTCAGTGGGAGGAATAGTGCCCCATCATTGGTGTCAGTGGGAGGAATAGTGTCCCATCATTGGTGTCAGTGGGAGGAATAATGCCTCATCATTGGTGTCAGTGGGAGGAATAGTGCCCCATCATTGGTGTCAGTGGGAGGAATAGTGTCCCATCATTGGTATCAGTGGGAGGAATAGTGTCCCATCATTGGTGTCAGTGGGAGGAATAAAGTTCCATTGTCAATGTCAGGAACTACAGTATCCTCCATTGTTCCTGACAGTGGATGAAATAGTGCCCCAAGGGCCAGATACACTTTTTGAGTGCATTTATATACAGATATATAGATCAGATCAAAATGAGGGACAGTGAGGAGGAAAGAGGGACAGAGGGACTTTGTTCCAGATCAGGGACAGTCCCTGGAAATCAGGGACAGTTGGGAGCTATGCATTTGTCCCAGGAACATTTGTCCCAGGGGGTGATTCTTCTCTCTGGATGTTGGGAATGGTGGTTGCTGGTCGCTTCAGTTGGGTTTTTGTACATTTTATTGCACATGTGCATGGAGTACAGGAAGAGGGGGACCTCAGGATACCCTATGTTGTCTACATGGAATGCAGTCTCTGGTGTCTTCCTAGCCTATTGGGTCCCTGTATCTTGGAGATATACCAACCATGTAAGCAACTGGGCCCAGATATAATTAGTATAGTTCCCCCATCATTTATACCAGGCCCTTAAGGTCTAGTAGGAATTTTAAAGTGGACCTCACACAAAAAAAAGCAGCCTTAGGTGCCCCCCCCCCCCCCCACACTTTTATACCAGTCTGGTATGGATTTTAACCACTTCCCATCCAGCCGTTGTATATAAACGGCCAGACGGTGACAGTCCAGGTTCGGGTGACCTTTTATAAACAGCCTCCCCGCCCCCTGCTTGTGCGTGCTTCCTGGGAGCGCACAGCACCGCTATCCGGTGCCCGCTGTGTCCTCCGGACTCAGTGGAACACCGATCGTCATACAGGACCTCTGTGTGAGGTCCCAATCATGTGATCACTGATTGGCCAATCAGTGATCACGTGCAGAGTAGTAAGCAAGATGTCACTTCTGACATCATTGCTTACTACGTGTGAAATCTGTGAATGATCACAGAGGTCACTTGGTACAGGGCTATTCACAACAGCCTTGTACCATGTGACAAGCTGTGACCAATCACAGCTCTCACAGTAGTTCTCAATGGCTGCAAGAATGCAGACAGAGAGAAGGAGGAATTATTGCTTTTATAGCCTTTATGAATGTAAAAGTAATCAGTGTAAAAAAAAAAAAATCTTCATCACCCCCCACAAGACACTGCACTGCTAGGGTGACAGTATGTAAAAAAAAAACCCTAAATAATAATATATAAAAATAAAAAAAAATGTTTTAAAATTATAATTTTTGGTTATAAACTAATTTGGGTTATTTTTTTTTTTAGTAAAAAGTTAACGGAATACATTTTGGCCAAGATTTATGATGAAATATTATTTATTTGCAAAATTTTATAAGAAAAACACTTTTTCTCAAAATGTTTGGACTTTTCCATTTACATAGCAAAAAAAATAAAAATCCCAGCGGTGAATAATTACCACCAAAAGTTTTATATGTCCCAAAAAAATGCTAAAAAATTCATATGGCTACAATGTTGAATGACCGCGCAATTGTCATTCAAAGTGTGATAGCGCTGAAAGCTGAAAATTGGCCTGGACTGGAAGGGGGGGAAGGCGTCCGGACTGGAAGGGGGGGAAAGCGTTCGGACTGGAAGGGGGTGAAAAGCGTCCGGACTGGAAGGGGGGGAAAGTGTCCGGACTGGAAGGGGGTGAAAGCGTCCGGACTGGAAGGGGGGAAAGTGTCCGGACTGGAAGGGGGGGAAAGCGCCCGTACTGGAAGGGGGTGAAAGTGTCCGGACTGGAAGGGGGTGAAAGAAAGTGTCCGGACTGGAAGGGGGGGAAAGTGCCCGTACTGGAAGGGGGGGAAAGTGTCCGGACTGGAAGGGGGGGGGGGAAAGTGTCCGGACTGGAAGGGGGGGAAAGTGTCCGGACTGGAAGGGGGGGAAAGTGTCCGGACAGGAAGGGGGTGAAAGTGTCCGGACTGGAAGGGGGGGAAAGTGTCCGGACAGGAAGGGGGGGGAAAGTGTCCGGACTGGAAGGGGGGGAAAGTGTCCGGACTGGAAGGGGGGAAAGTGTCCAGACTGGAAGGGGGGGAAAGTGTCCAGACTGGAAGGGGGGGAAAGTGTCCGTACTGGAAGGGGGGGAAAGTGCCCGTACTGGAAGGGGGGGAAAGTGCCCGTACTGGAAGGGGGGGGGGGGGGGGGGAAGTGCCCGTACTGGAAGGGGGGGGGAAAGTGTCCGGACTGGAAGGGGGGGAAAGTGTCCGGACTGGAAGGGGGGGGAAAGTGTCCGGACTGGAAGGGGGGGAAAGTGTCCAGACTGGAAGGGGGGGAAAGTGTCCGGACTGGAAGGGGGGGAAAGTGTCCAGACTGGAAGGGGGGGAAAGTGTCCAGACTGGAAGGGGGGGAAAGTGTCCGTACTGGAAGGGGGGGGGGAAAGTGCCCATACTGGAAGGGGGGGGGAAAGTGCCCGTACTGGAAGGGGGGGGAAAGTGCCCGTACTGGAAGGGGGGGGGGAAGTGTCTGGACTGGAAGGGGGTGAAAGTGTCCGGACTGGAAGGGGGTGAAAGTGTCCGGACTGGAAGGGGGTGAAAGAGTCCGGACTGGAAGGGGGTGAAAGTGTCCGGACTGGAAGGGGGTGAAAGTGTTCGGACTGGAAGGGAGTGAAAGTGTCCGGACTGGAAGGGGGTGAAAAGTGTCCGGACTGGAAAGGGGGGAAAGTGTCCGGACAGGAAGGGGGGGAAAGTGCCCGTACTGGAAGGGGGGGAAAGTGTCCGGACTGGAAGGGGGTGAAAGTGTTCGGACTGGAAGGGAGTGAAAGTGTCCGGACAGGAAGGGGGTGAAAGTGTTCGGACTGGAAGGGGGGGAAAGTGTCCGGACTGGAAAGGGGGGAAAGTGTCCGGACAGGAAGGGGGGGAAAGTGTCCGGACTGGAAGGGGGGGAAAGTGTCCAGACTGGAAGGGGGGGAAAGTGTCCGTACTGGAAGGGGGGGGAAAGTGCCCGTACTGGAAGGGGGGGGGGGGGGAAAGTGCCCGTACTGGAAGGGGGGGGAAAGTGCCCGTACTGGAAGGGGGGGGGGGGGGGGAAGTGTCCGGACTGGAAGGGGGTGAAAGTGTCCGGACTGGAAGGGGGTGAAAGTGTCCGGACTGGAAGGGGGTGAAAGTGTCCGGACTGGAAGGGGGTGAAAGTGTCCGGACTGGAAGGGGGTGAAAGTGTCCGGACTGGAAAGGGGGGAAAGTGTCCGGACAGGAAGGGGGGGAAAGTGCCCGTACTGGAAGGGGGGAAAAGTGTCCGGACTGGAAGGGGGGGGAAAGTGTCTGGACTGGAAGGGGGGGAAAGTGTCCGGACTGGAAGGGGGGAGTGTTCGGACTGGAAGGGGGGGAAAGTGTCCGGACTGGAAGTGGTTAAGGGAGAACTTTATGCAAAAATCTTGAGGTCCCCCCGAAAATCCACCACTCCCCCATTTGAACGAGTAAGGGGTATGTATCCCTACTCATTCACCAAAAATTATTTTAATTGAAAAAAAAAAAAAATGTAATTAAAAACAAACATTCAATCACATTGTCCCGCGATATATAGACACTCATCAATCACAGTGCCTGACACCTGCTGACATGTCTGTTCCGGTCTCTTCAATTCCACCAAATGACAAATGTGGCTGATGACTGCTGATAAACTATATTGCCCCAAGTATTGGGCCACCGGCCTTTCCACTCACATGACCTTTAATGGCCCCCCCCAGTCTTAGTCCGTAGGGTTTAATATTGAGTTGACCCCGCCCTTCCCACACACATGACCTTTAATGGCCTCCCAGGCTTAGTCCGTAGGGTTCAATATTGAGTTGGCCCCACCCTTTCCACATACATGACCTTTAATGGCCCCCCAGTCTTAGTCCGTAGGGTTCAATATTGAGTTGGCCCCGCCCTTTGCAGCTATAACAGCTTCAACTCTTCTGGGAAGGCCGTCCACAAGGTTTAGGAGGGTGTCTATGGGAAGGTTGGACCATTCTTCCAGAAGCACATTTGTCAGGTCAGGCACTGATGTCGGGGGAGGAGGCCTGGCTCGCAGTCTCCGCTCTAATTCATCCCAAAGGTGTTCTATGGGGTTGAGCTCAGGACTCTGTGCAGGCCAGTCAAGTTCCTCCACCCCAAACTGGCTCCTCCATGTCTTTATGGACCTTGCTTTGTGCACTGATGCGCAGTCATGTTGGAACAGGAAGGGACCATCCCCAAACTCTTCACAAAGTTGGGAGCATGAAATTTTCCAAAATATTGCCTTAAGAGTTCCCTTCACTGGAACTAGGGGGCCAAGTCCAACCCCTGAAAAACAATCCCACACCATAATCCCCCCTCCACCCAACTTTACACTTGGCACAATGCAGTCAGGCAAGTACCATTCTCCTGGCCACCGCCTAACCCAGACACGTCCATTGGATTGCCAGACAGAGAAGCATGATTAGTCACTCCAGAGAACACGCCTCTACTGCTCTAGAGTCCAGTGGCGGCGTGCTTTACACCACGGCATCCGACGCTTTGCATTGCACTTGGTGATGTAAGGATTGGATGCAGCTGCTCGGCCATGGAAACCCATTCCATGAAGCTCTCTACGCACTGTTGTTGGGCTCATCTGAAGGCCACACCAAGTTTGGAGGTCTTTAGCTATTGACTGCAGACAGTTGGTGACTTCTGCGCACTGTGCGCTTCAGCATGCGCTGACCCCACCCTGTCATGTGACGTGGCCTACCACTTGGTGGCTGAGTTGCTGTTGTTCCCAGTTGCTTCCACTTTGTTATAATCCCACTAACAGTTGAGCGTGAAATATTTAGTAGCCAGGAAATGTCACGGATGGACTTATTGCCCAGGTGGCCACCTATCACGGGACCACGCTTGGAGTCACTGAGCTCCTGAGAGCGACCCATTCTTTCACCAATGTTTGTAGAAGCCGTCTGCATGCCTAGGGGCTTGATTGTATACAAAGAACCAGCAAACACAAATGCTCCTGCGCTTGGGGATGGACTCGATGCTACAACCACATTAAGAGTGTCCTGGAACATGCACACCTTGCTGCCCTCAAATGGACCGGGGGAATCCAAATATACTGAATGGGGAAAGAACAAAAAGAGGGCGCACAGGCCTAGTGCATTACCATAAAAAATGTTTAATAAAAAATAAAGTAGGTATTGTACTCACAAACGACAATATAGTCAAGGCACATCATAAAAGAACAGCTGGATCAACACCGCGCTGAGTAACAGTCCGCAATAGAGAGTGTAGACATCCAAAAGGCTGACGCGTTTCGAGGACTTGCCTCTTCCTCAGAGCCACTAGCTGGCTCTGAGGAAGAGGCAAGTCCTCGAAACGCGTCAGCCTTTTGGATGTCTACACTCCCTATTGCGGACTGTTACTCAGCGCGGTGTTGATCCAGCTGTTCTTTTATGATGTGCCTTGACTATATTGTCGTTTGTGAGTACAATACCTACTTTATTTTTTATTAAACATTTTTTATGGTAATGCACTAGGCCTGTGCACCCTCTTTTTGTTCTTTCCCCATTCAGCTTGATTGTATACACCTGTGTCCATGGAGGGGATTGAAACACCTGAATCACATGATATGGAGGGGATTGGAACACCTGAATCACATAATATGGAGGGGATTGGGGCACCTGAATCACATGATATGGAGGGGATTGGAACACCTGAATCACATGATATGGAGGGGATTGGAACCCCTGAATCACATGATATGGAGGGGATTGGAACACCTGAATCACATGATTGGGAGGGGATTGGAACACCTGAATCACATGATATGGAGGGGATTGGAACACCTGAATCACATGATTGGGAGGGGATTGGAACCCCTGAATCACATGATATGGAGGGGATTGGAAACACCTGAATCACATGATATGGAGGGGATTGGAACACCTGAATCACATGATTTGGGGGGTGTCCCAATACTTTTGGCAATATAGTGTATATACAAAGGGGTGGGTTCGTTCAGGTGATGACATTAGTCATATATGATCAATGACACCACAGGTATCCAGACCTAAAGAGCCAGGTAGGGGTCCCCAATTACCGTCTATACCAGACCATCATCTAGCACCGTCTGGTATAGATGAAAGGAATCCTGCTTTGTGTACAAACAGAATGAAGTGACTGGGAACTGTCATTTACTGGCAATTGTCAGATGTGCGATTTCATAGACAGGGTCAGGGCATCCCACAGACATGTTATTTATTGGAGTTTTGCATTTTTTTCATTTTAAGCATTGCTAAAATCACTGCTCCCCACCAAACTGATTTTTTTTTTTGCTTTGTTGCATGTCATCTCAGGGCAGTCGTCAGCTCCCCCCCCCCCCCCCACCCAACCCCCATCCCCCATCTCATACCATTTGTAGGACAATCCCTTGCCTAATAGCCTAGAAAGTGGCAGGTACTGTTTTTGGCATTCGGCTCCCATTGACCTCATGGTCCATCAGCTCCACCTTGATCTGGTCGCAGGATCTGACCGGAGTTTAGGTCTGTCTGTGTAACTGTTGTTAAGTTAATTACTTTTTCATGTCCAGACCATCTGCACTGCATGAGGAGTCCCCAAAATAACAAGTATATCCAGGCAGTGTCTAGGACTCTAAGGAAAACCCCAAAACTCTACTAAACCCCTTATTTTAATATTAATTTGAGTTTTATTATTAAATATGGCAACACAATTCAGCAAGATTTTCACAGGGTTTGGGTTGCAGCTGTAGCCTCAGCCTGAATACATGTACAGAGCTTGAACATTATACGCAAATCCTCCCTGAATTAAAAATGTTGCTATCTTCTAGATTGCAAAAGGTAAAATCGGGACCTCTGATTTCCAGGGAAAGCAGTCGGTTGCAGTTGCTCATGTTCTAATACTTGTGTCTGTTCTAGATGGAGGTGACTATCCCATCGTGCGGGGTCGTCGGATCGGTCATGTGGAACTGGAGATCATTTATCACCCACTTTTCCATCATGAACCCATCAAAGGAGGTTGTTCTCCTGATCCTGGGCCCCAACTTCCACAACAGCATCTTCGGGAATATAACTTTAGAGGTATTTCATGCAGGAAATTCTAATGAGTATAGAGTCCAGTCCATGCTGTCATTCTGGGAGAGATAGGCTGGATCTTACATATCGGGTTCAGACAGATTTTACAATAATTGTTGTATCCCACCCAGCCAAAGATCAGCCCTGAGACCTCTAGAACGATATGCAATGGGATCAGACCAATGATGGTATTCCAAGCTTGGTGTCTCCAGTCTTCCAGCTATATCTGTAAATTTGAATTGTTCTTTTGTTTTCATGGCCGGAAGAAACTGTTATCTCAGTTATAACCGAGACAAAACTATTCTGTTTTTAATCCAGAGCCTGAAATTTCATTAACTGTTAATGGAGATGTAGGATCAAAGCTCTTCTGGCCCTACGTCTCCAGAGGATCACCGGAGTGCACTTTGCTCTGCACTCCTGTGACCCATATTCAGCCAAAAGTGGGCTGAAGTCTGTTGTTGGCTGATGACACTCAGCCAGTCCAGATGCAAGATTAATCCTGACTTTAATGTTGGGATCCACCTAGATACCTGTCTAGCAACTGGCTCATACTCTCAGTGCGCTGTTGAAAGGCTGGTCCAGCCTCTTCTACTACACAGCCCAGTGCTCCAGTGAGAGCTGGAGGGGCAGAGCAGAGGTCTGGTGACTAACAGTCACTGTCTCTTTGTTCAGAAAAGACAGAGAACTGAGCAATCAGTAGTCTTTGATCAATCAGTTCTCAGTCTTAGAGGCGACGACGGACAGATGCAGCATCGGACCAATCGATCTGTCTACCTAATACCAATTACAATTTTCGACAAGGCTAATAATTTCCAACATCTAGAACATCTCAAGAACATCCCATTTCAACCTAGCCACCTCTCTATTCAATTGCATCTATTGTACCCAACTGTCATCACCTTCATCCACAGCCATCTCCTTCCATTTTGTATTTAGTGTACCCAACTGTCATCACCTCCATCCCCCGCCATCTCCTTCCCTATTGTATCTAGTGTACCCAACTGTCATCACCTCCATCCACCGCCATCTCCTCCTCTCTTTGTATCCAGTGTACCCGACTGTCATCACCTCCATCCACTGCCATCTCCTTCCCTATTGTATCTAGTGTACCCAACTGTCATCACCTCCATCCACTGCCATCTCCTTCCCTATTGTATCTAGTGTACCCATCTGTCATCACCTATATCCACCGCCATCTCCTTCCCTATTGTACCTAGTGTACCTGACTGTCATCACCTCCATCCACTGCCATCTCCTTCCCAATTGTATACAGTGTACCCGACTGTCATCACCTCCATCCACTTCCATCTCCTTCCCAATTGTATACAGTGTACCCGACTGTCATCACCTCCATCCACTGCCATCTCCTTCCCTATTGTATCTAGTGTACCCGACTGTCATCACCTTTATCCACCGCCATCTCCTTCCCTATTGTATCTAGTGTACCCGACTGTCATCACCTCCATCCACTGCCATCTCCTGCCCTATTGTATCTAGTGTACCTGACTGTCATCACCTCCATCCACTGCCATCTCCTTCCCAATTGTATACAGTGTACCCGACTGTCATCACCTCCATCCACTTCCATCTCCTTCCCAATTGTATACAGTGTACCCGACTGTCATCACCTCCATCCACCGCCATCTCCTTCCCTATTGTATCTAGTGTAACCGACTGTCATCACCTCCATACACTGCCATCTCCTGCCGTATTGTATCTAGTGTACCCAACTGTCATCACCTCCATCCAACAACTTCTCCTTCCATATTGTATCTAGTGTACCCGACTGTCATCACCTCCATCCACTGCCATCTCCTGCCCTATTGTATCTAGTGTACCCGACAGTCATCACCTCCATCCACCGCCATCTCCTTCCCTATTTGTATCTAGTGTACCCGACTGTCATCACCTCCATCCACCGCCATCTCCTTCCCTATTGTATCTAGTGTACCTGACTGTCATCACCTCCATCCACTGCCATCTCCTTCCCAATTGTATACAGTGTACCCGACTGTCATCACCTCCATCCACCGCCATCTCCTTCTCTATTGTATCTAGTGTACCCGACTGTCATCACCTCCATCCACTGCCATCACCTGCCCTATTGTATCTAGTGTACCCAACTGTCATCACCTCCATCCACCGCCATCTCCTTCCATATTGTATCTAGTGTACCCAACTGTCATCACCTCCATCCACTGCCATCTCCTTCCCTATTGTATCTAGTGTAACCAGCTGTCATCACCTCCATCCACTGCCATCTCCTTCCCAAATGTATCTAGTGTACTCAACTGTCATCACCTCCATCCAACAACTTCTCCTTCCATATTGTATCTACTGTACCCAACTGTCATCACCTCCATCCACCGCCATCTCCTTCCATATTGTATCTAGTGTACCCAACTGTCATCACCTCCATCCCCCGCCATCTCCTTCCCTATTGTATCTAGTGTACCCAACTGTCATCACCTCCATCCACCGCCATCTCCTTCCCTATTGTATCTAGTGTACTCAACTGTCATCACCTCCATCCACCGCCATCTCCTTCCCTATTGTATCTAGTGTACCCGACTGTCATCACCTCCATCCACCGCCATCTCCTTCCCTATTGTATCTAGTGTACCCGACTGTCATCACCTCCACTGCCATCTCCTTCCCTATTGTATCTAGTGTACCCGACTGTCATCACCTCCATCCACCGCCATCTCCTTCCATATTGTATCTAGTGTACCCAACTGTCATCAGTTCCATCCACTGCCATCTTCTTCCATATTGTATCTAGTGTACCCAACTGTCATCACCTCCAACCACTGCCATCCCCTGCCCTATTGTATCTAGTGTACCCAACTGTCATCACCTCCATCCACCGCCATCTCCTTCCATATTGTATCTAGTGTACCCAACTGTCATCACCTCCATCCACTGCCATCTCCTTCCCTATTGTATCTAGAGTAATCAGCTGTCATCACCTCCATCCACTGCCATCTCCTTCCCAATTGTATCTAGTGTACCCAACTGTCATCACCTCCATCCACTGCCATCTCCTTCCCTATTGTATCTAGTGTAACCAACTGTCATCACCTCCATCCACCGCCATCTCCTTCCCAATTGTATCTAGTGTACCCAACTGTCATCACCTCCATCCACCGCCATCTCCTACTCTATTGTATCCAGTGTACCCAACTGTCATCACCTCCATCCAACAACTTCTCCTTCCCTATTGTATCTAGTGTACCCAACTGTCATCACCTCCATCCACCGCCATCTCCTTCCCTATTGTATCTAGTGTAACCAACTGTCATCACCTCCATCCACCGCCATCTCCTTCCCAATTGTATCTAGTGTACTCAACTGTCATCACCTCCATCCACCGCCTTCTCCTTCCCTATTGTATCTAGTGTACCTAACTGCCATCACCTCCATCCACTGCCATCTCCTTTCCTATTGTATCTAGTGTACCCGACTGTCATCACCTCCATCCAACAACTTCTCCTTCCCTATTGTATCTAGTGTACCCAACTGTCATCACCTCCATCACGCCATCTCCTTCCCTACTGTATCTAGTGTACTCAACTGTCATCACCTCCATCCATCAACTCTTCTTCCATATTGTATCTAGTGTACCCAACTGTCATCCTCCCATCCACCCATCTCCTTCCATGTATTAGTGTACCCAACTGTCATCACCTCCATCCACCGCCATCTCCTTCCCTATTGTATCTAGTGTACCCAACACCACCTCCATCACCGCCATCTCCTTCCCTATTGTATCTATGTACCCAACTCCATCCACCTCCATCCACCGCCATCTCCTTCCATATTGTATCTAGTAGAGTACCCAACTGTCATCACCTCCATCCACCGCCATCTCCTTCCATACTGTATCTAGTGTAACACCAACTGTCATCACCTCCATCCACCGCCATCTCCTTCCCTACTGTATCTAGTGTACCCAACTGTCATCACCTCCATCCACCGCCATCTCCTTCCCATTGTATCTAGTGTACCCAACTGTCATCACCTCCATCCACCGCCATCTCCTTCCCTATTGTATCTAGTGTAACCAACTGTCATCACCTCCATCCACTCCATTGTATCCACCCAACTGCATCACCTCCATCCACCGCCTTCCCTATTGTATCTAGTGTACCCAACTGTCATCACCTCCATCCACCGCCATCTCCTTCCCTATTGTATCTAGTGTACCCAACTGTCATCACCTCCATCCACCGCCATCTCCTTCCCTATTGTATCTAGTGTACCCAACTGTCATCACCTCCATCCACCGCCACTTCCTTCCCTATTGTATCTAGTGTACCAACTGTCATCACCCATCCATCCCCACCGCCACCTCCATCCCTCCCTATTGTTTCTAGTGTACCCACTGTATCACCTCCATCCACTGCCATCTCCTTCCCTATTGTATCTAGTGTACCTCTGTCATCACCTCCATCCACCGCCATCTCCTTCCCATATATTGTATCTAGTGTAACCAACTGTCATCACCTCCATCCACCGCCATCTCCTTCCCAATTGTATCTAGTGTACCCAACTGTCATCACCTCCATCCATCATTGCACCTTCCATATTGTATCCCCGCCATCACCTCTCCAAATACTTCCTTCCATATTGTATCTAGTGTACCCAACTGTCATCACCTCCATCCACCGCCCATCTCCCTTCCCTATTGTATCTAGTGTACCAACTGTACTCCATCCACTGTCATCACCTTCCATATTGTATCTAGTGTAACAACTTCTCACTCCCATCCACCGCCATCTATTCCCATATTGTATCTAGTGTACCCAACTGTCATCACCTCCATCCACACCCGCCACCTTCCCTATTGTATCTAGTGTACCCATCTGTCATCACCTCCATCCCACAACCTTCCTTCCCTATTGTATCTAGTGTAACCAACTGTCATCACCTCCATCCACCGCCATCTCCTTCCCAATTGTATCTAGTGTAATCAACTGTCATCACCTCCATCCAATCAACTTCCA